TATTTCTTTACCAAAAAAAAGAAAACACTGATTTGGAAATATGCATCCCATTGTTGATAGCATTATTTATAATAGCCAAGATATGGAAGCAACCTAAGAATCCAACAGATGAATGGATAAAGAAGCTGTGGTGTGTGTATATATGTGTGTATATATATATATATATACATATATACAATGAAATACTACCTAGCCATAAAAAAGAATGAAATTTTGCCTTTGCAGCAATATGAATGGACTTGGAGGGCATTATACTAAATGAAATAAGTCAGACAGAGAAAGAGAAGTACTATATGATATCACTTACATGTAGGATCTGAAAAACACAGCAGACTAGTGAATGTAACAAAGAAGCAGACTCACAGATAATAGAAGATAAGCTGTTGGTTATCTATAATAGGGGTAGGGGGGCAATATAAAGGTAGGGGAGTGAGAGGTACAATCCGTTGGGTGTAAGATAGGCTCAAGGATATATTGTACAACATGGGGAATATGGCCAATATATTGTAATAACTAAATGAAAAATAACCTTTAAAAATTGTAAACAAATTTTTTAAATTAAAAACAAAACATTGGTGCCAGTCAATTTATGTTCTTATAATTTCATTTGAGTTTTTTTTTTTTTTGTAAAGAAAAAAGATCACTTTCAAAATAGTACTGCTCATCGACAATGTACCTGGCCCATTAAGAGCTTAGCTAGAGATGTACAATGAGATTCATGTTTTTTTCATATTTACTAACACAATAGCCATTCTACAGCCCATGGATCAAGAATAATCTCTACTTTCAAGTCTCATTATTTAAGAAATACATTTCTTAAGACTATAGTTGCCATAGATAGTGATTTCTCTCATGACTCGCTTTATTGCAGTGCTCTAAATTCAAAACTACGATAGCTCTGAGGTATGCCTATATAAGTCTAGGTTCATATAGGTATGGCTATGTAAGGTTAGATTCCACCACCCGACTGTCCCTCAACTAAGAAAGAATCACCATATTATCTGAGTTGTTACAAAGTTTTTTATATTGCCTGCTGCTTGCTTACTTACTTATTTTCCACAGTTGCTTTCTTGTGTTTTCAACAACATGGTTTTCTAAGTCCTAAAAAATTTAGTATAGTTATGGTAACTATTATGAGGGATTGTTGTTGTTTAGTCACTAAGTCATGTCCAACTGTTGCAACTGCAAATCTTGAATGCCATAATGAATTATTAAAGATAAAGCAATGTATGTTACTCAGTTATGGAGATAGGAATATGCATTTATGAGATGAATGGAAAAGTAAAAAAATTGTCCTAATAAAACACAAATGGGTATGTGTTATAAACACAGTTTCCAGTAACAACATCATACACATTCAAAACTGTTATAATTTAAATGATATATGCCAAAATGATGATAATGCACTGTCAGCCTATATTAGATAACTTTGATGGCTTTTAGTTAGATAACTAAATATATATGTAAATGAATTGAACAAAATTGTTTTATGAAACAGGAGGGTAGAAATAGAATGGTAAAGAACCCGCCTGCCAGTGCAGGAGAAGTAGGAGATGCAGGTTCCATCCCTGGGTTGGGAAGATCCCCTGGAAGAGGGCATGGCAACCCAATTCAGTATTCTTGCCTGGAGAATCCCATGGGCAGGAGAGCCTGGTGAGCTACAGTCCACAGGGTGAAAAAGATTCGGACACGCCTGAAGCAACTTAGCATGCACTCAAATATATTTTATATAACATTTTAACTAAAGACATTGACTTTCACCAAAATTTACAGATTCAGATCATCTAAAGGCTTTTTTCTTTTCTTGTTGGAAAAATTTAAAGTATAGAAAAATTCCTATAAAATATGGAAGACTATTTTAGTCCCTCAGTATACATCCTTAATTTTATTTCGTAGGACTTTTATTCCCTCCCTTATTTTTCACATTTGTGCTCTGTCTTCTCGTATATGTTTTAAGCTGCCTATCTTTACTCCTAACACATGTATATTGATGGTGGGTTTTAGGTACCATGTATATTACTTTGGTCTCTTTCCAGCTTGTTAATATGTATTTTTGAATGTTGCTTTTTCTAAGAACATTCTACTGTAGATAAAAATGTAAATACACGTACATGTTTTAGAGTGACATAAATATAAAATGCAAGTGTAAACAAAAAGATCTAGTATTTTTAATAATTCTATTCATATTAAAATAGTATGTAGATAAAATTCTAACTTTTGCAGAAATATGTATGTACGTATGTGTTAGTCACTCAGTTGTGTCCGACTCTTTGCAACCGTTTGACTGTAGCCCACCAGGCTTCTCTGTCCATGGGATTCTCCTGGCAAGAATACTGGAGTGGGTTGCCATTCTCTTTTCCAGGGGATCTTCCCAGCCCAGGAGTCGAACCCAGGCCTTCTGCATTGTAGGCAGATTATTTACTGTTTGAGCTTCCAGGGAAGTGCAGGAATATGGGTAGGCTCAAGTTCCAATAGTTTATTTGTAAGCCAGTGCCTTGGGGAAAATATATTCTGAGCTTGTGAGAGGTTCCCAGATGACCTGCTGAAATCAATTTGACTTACTATGTATTTGGAATTATAGAAAATTATATTTTGAGATTTTTTTCTTTGGGCATGTATGTCTGAATCTTGACAATGGGAATAGTTTCTTGTCTTCTGAAGCCCCATCCTCTGAAAGGAAATACTTACCTGGAATCCTTAGCTTCCACCCCCTGAAGGGGACTGTGGCAAGAGGGCTGAAATTCCTTGAGCTTGGTTGTGATAGGAGGGCCTTTCTGAGTCCTTTGGGGGCAGCCTCCATGGGAAACCTCTAAGGTTAAAAACATTCCTTTGGGCACTCCACAGGCAATGTGATAAACCCTACTGGAAGCTAATATAAATAGGTATGTTGAAAATACTAAGCAGCTAAGATCTTCCTACTTCCTGGTTCTCCTTCCCACTTCCTTCTAACACTTTCATAAACCTCTCCCTCCATACCCACTTACCATGGGTTGCCTTGATGAATGGGATTGTCTTAAAGTTCAGAAGTGACTACCTCACTTATTTGTGCAAAAGTTCTGCCTATGTAATAAAATACATGCATCTTGAGACTAAAAAGATGAAATAAAAATAAAAAGAATTCCTTTGGGGATTTTCCTGGAGATCCAGTGGTTAAGACTGCACATTTCGACTGCCATGGCTTGAGTTCAATCTCTGGTCTGGAAACTGAGATCCTGGGCAGTGTGGCCCCCCAAAAAAAATTCCTTTTCTTTCTGATCTAACCTCTTCCTTTACCTCTGATTAATAGTCATTTTCTAGTTTATGGACAATATTTGGTTACTAAGACTTTCATCTTCCTTTTTGCCCCAGCATTCTCTGTCTGCGGGAAGCGAAAGGTGGTACAGATAGGGAACTGAATTCTGTACTTTGTAGGAATTAGCTTATGTACTTACTTTTTTTTTTTTTTTTGGTGAATAAGCCAAAAGAAATTTTCCATTAGGATGATTAAGTAAAGGTAGCACCCCCAAGCTTCAGGTATACCAGTAGAAAAGCTAGATCCCAGTGCCAATTGACTGTCCCACTGTAGCTCTATGAAAAATGGTTCTTAATTCTTCCCCCAGTTGACCGTTTGTGCACAGCGAAATAGCCATAGGACAGATGGATTTGAGGGTAGACTCTGGAAGGAAGGCGATCCCCTTGTTATTGCTGTCTAGTTTTTCTTGATCTGAAAAAGTATTAAGGAAAGTTGGTTCAGATATTATTGATGGATGGAATTTATATTTTAGGACAGGATTAGTACCTATGGTTCACCACCCCATCCCCAGGCATACTGCTTTGAAATTCTGCTAATTTTTGTTTTCACTTGCCAGATTTACTTTTGCTGTTTTATTTTTACTCCCTGTTCTGTTATACAAGGACAGAGCAGACAACTTTAAAGCTAATAAAAATTCAAGTTCAGTTTTTGTCTCCAAATAGACCAATGATTATTTATGTTGTAGAAGCACCAGCTACCTTAGTAGTTGGCAACAAAGATCCCAAACCACACAAGGAGAGAGCATGGACTTAAAAGCATAATCTGAATGAATTTAGTGTTTTGAACTTGGAAGCAAAACTGTTACTCAGTGTTTTTCTTATAGCTGGATATTGAACTGTGACTTACCATAGGGCAGCAAAGATAGGCCTCAGGGGAATGGTAGTTGTATTACAAGTTACAAATTTATGGCTAAACGCTTTGAGGAAAAATGTCTGATTAAAGGAGATATTGAGAAATATGACCTTCTGGTTAACTATTTGTTTTGAAAGGCAGACCTGAATTTTTTTTCCCTCAATTCTACAATTTCTCTCATAGTTAATCTGTGAGAATTACTATTAACAACTTTTATTTTTTTAAGAGACAGTGAGGTTCAGCATAGATAGTGGACATAGTGTCTTTACATTGCTGCACAAGGAAATGAGTGTGTTTATATCGTAAAAAAAAGTTACTGGGAGCACATAAACAAGGATTATTTATATTTGGAGTGCAACCCTGTCTTATTCACATATTATGTAATGTGATACATTAACTCTCTATTTGGATTATAAGCTTTTTGGCATGAACTTTATTTATACCAGTGCTGTCCACTGGGCATGTAATGTGAGCCATGTAGGTAATTTAAAATTTTCTAGTAGCTGCAATATATATTTTTTTTAACCCAATATAATCTAAATATATTTCAACAAGTAATCAATATAAAGACTGAGATATTTTGCACCCTTTTTTCCATACTACATTTTCAGAACCCATTGTTATTTTATTCTTAGTGCACATCTCAATTCAGGCTAGCCACATTTTGAGCACTTGAAAGCCATAGGTAGCAAGTGGCTACTGTATTAGTGCTGTCTTACACTCCTATAGTTTAGTGTTAGGAACACAGTTGTTGCTTTGTGTGAGAATGTGTGTGTTTGTTATTTTAGCTACAGATTTCTCTAGATGAATAAAGTATAAAAGATTTTAAAATGCCTATCTTTTCTTTCTCTTTAAGGCCCTTCCTTCTTCCATGATTATAGTAGCAGTTTATTGTCCTGTGATAGCTGCTGTTTTCATTGTTCTGAAGATGGTCAACTATCGACTCCACAGAGCCCTGGATGCTGGAGAGATTGTAGAGAGGAATGCAAATGAGTTCACAGATCAGCGAGCCAAAACTGAGCAAGGCAACTGTTCAACACGGAGAAAAGATAGCAATGGCCCGAGGTAAAGAAACCCGTGATGCCTGTGTCCAGTGATGTGATTATTGTGTCATGCCTGTTCTGTTCACCTGGCGTAACCACTGTTAGTACAGTGACACGGATGATTGTCACGTTGAGACAATAGCGAAGCTGACTGTCTGGAGATAAATCAGTATCCTTGGCCTTACTAATGAACAGCATGTTTGAATGATAATCATAAGTATAATAATTAAACATACCAAAGACCAAAACCAATGAAAAACAGGTTAAAAAAATAATAAAACATGACTTTATAAATCAAAGCATTTTTTACTTATACATATATGTAGTTACATGTATGTACATATACTTAATATACTTTTACATAAAATGTATATTCATCTTAAGCAAGCTGTGATAATATTTACTTGACACTTAAAATGTGCAGTTTTCCCTTTATTATAAGTTTTTTTTTCAATTTTATATTCTCACCTTAGAAACTTAGCTGTTCCTTCCCTAGACCTTGGCATGACTGATTTCCTATGTAGTGGTGACCCCCTCCTAGAGGCTTTTTTTTCCTGTCTCAGCTAAAATATTCTTCCTGCTGTTCTCAGTCACATTCTACCCTGTTACCTCAGCCTCAACCAGAGGAATTTAGTTATTATAGTCAAAAGGTTGTGACTTTATAGAAATAATAGGTATCCCTATTGTAACTCTTCAATTGTTGCTTTATGAGCATACAACATTTTTAAGCTCATGCAGTCCTCAGAAGCAATTCTATGAGATGGATACTGTAATTATCTCTGACTTACAGATGTGGAAAGTAAGGTGAGAAGGATCAAATAATCCAGGCATTCAGGCTCTGGAGTCCAAGCTTTTAACCACTCTGCCATGTTTCCACTCAGTATAATATATCATGATATAAATAATGCCATTAAAAGGGGGTATTCATCTTCTATGACAGGGCAATATTTCTGTGTCATCTCCAGTGCACTTGAAGCCTTTGTCCTTTTTCAGTTACATTTTCCTTCATCCTAACATGATTATCCCATTTGTTCATTGAACAGATACTTTACTCTTGTGATAATTTTATTCATAGCATAAATCACTATCTGAAATAATCTTACATAATCATTTGTTTGTACTTATAAGTTTTTTGAAGGCAGTGCCTTGTTTTTCTTACAAACTATTTTATTCCTACGTTCTTGAACAGTGTCTTGTACTAATAGGTACTCAGGAAATGTTTCAAATTAGTGAAAACATTTTTTTCCTGTGATGGTATTTTTTTTCCCCCCGTGATAGTATTGTTAATGACTGCACAGTTTTCCATTCTGTTGGTATACAGTAGCTTAATTTAGCTATCTTATTTTTAGTTATTTAAGTTATTTTCTAATTTAAATTCAAGTATTAGATCACTGTGATGTTTAAATTTTAAATGAATAAAATTTTTTTTATCATGATTTAGCAGAAGTAGAATTGCTTGAAAACTATGCCCCATTTTTTAATATATATTGCCAAAGTCCAAAGATTTTTACCTTTTAATTATTGTGATCAGCAGTTGGAGGGTTCCCCCCCCCCCCCCACTTTTGGCAGCACTGATTATTTAGTATTTTCACAAGCTGGTAAATATCTCATTGTTTAATATTTTCAGTTTTCAGATTACTAGTGAAATGGAGACATTTTTCTTATGTTGTTCCATTTAAATTTGTTATTTTGTGAGTTGTGTGTTTTTCTATCAGTGGTTAGTTTTTTACTGTTGGTTTGGAGAAGATACTTATGAAGGATATCAACTCATCTTTTATGTCAAATACTTTTCCTCACTTTATGGCATTTTATATATGTATTTATATGCCACAGTTAATTTTTGTATGATCTGTTCTATGCAAGTTTACTAGTTCTATCTTTGATATCAAGTTTTGTAAGATATTTTTCCTTACCCAAATTATGTAAATTTTCATCTGAGTGTACTTTTAGTATTTTTACCATTTTATCTTTTATTTTTAACTTATAGTCAATCTGAAGAACATTTCTAACTTTTTTTTCAGATTTGTTAGGACCAACAACATTGAATGGATAATGCATCATTATGTCCATTTCTGGGCTCTGTTTTCTGCCCCACTGATCTCTCTTTGCCTGTAATACACTGGCTTTCTAATATGCTTAATACTTAGCAGTGTGAATCCCTCTTCACTATTTTAATATTATCTTAGTTATTCTCATGCATATGATTAGTTTTTTGTGAGATGTTCCCTTGTCTGCTCATCCTTCAGAAAAATCACAGTAGAATTTTGATGATAATTGTATTAAATTTGGAGGGAACTCAGCTTTTAAAATGGAAAGCCTCACTCAGAGACGTTGTGTGTTCGTTGTACAGTCACTCAGCCTTGTCTGGCTCTTTTATGGACTGCAGCATGCCAGACCTGCCTGTCCCTCACCATCTCCCAGAGTTTGCACAAGTTCATGTCCAGTGCGTCAGTGATGCCATCCAGCCATCTCATCCTCTAATGCCCTCTTCTCCTTTTGCCTTTAATCTTTCCCAGCATCAGGGATTTTTCCAGTGAGTCAGCTGTTCACATCATGTGACCAAAATACTGGAGCTTAGCTTCAGCATCAGTCTTTCGAATGAATATTCAGGACTGATTTTCTTTAGAATTGACTGGTTTGTTCTCCTTGCTGTCCAAGGGACTCCCTTGTATATGTATATGGTGTATGTGCATAAATTTTTTAGTGGATTCTGCATAGTACTTAAGTCTATTCTGTTTCTGTTATGAAATGCATACCCCCATTTAGTGAGTAAACAAACATAATGTAGATTCTGCACTTAATCTGCCAGTGTCTTGAATCAGTTCCTGATAGTATGACCTTGGGGGAGTTAAGCTTTTATGCCTTGGCTTCCTCATCTGGATGATGAGACAAATAATAGTACTGTCTCTAGGGTTCAGTTCAGTCCAGTCCCTCAGTCGTGTCTGACTCTGTGACCCCATGAACCGCAGCTCGCCAGGCCTCCCTTTTCCATCACTAACTCCTGGAGTTTACCCAGACTCATGTCCATTGAGTTGGTGATGCCATCCAACCATCTCATCCTCTGTCATTCCCTTCTCCTCCTGCCCTCAATCTTTCCCAGCATCAGGGCCTTTTCAGATGAGTCAGCTCTTCGCATCAGGTCGCCAAAGTATTGGAGTTTCAGCTTCAACATCAGTCCTTCCAATGAACACCCAGGACTGATCTCCTTTAGGATGGACTGGTTGGATCTCCTTGCAGTCCAAGGGACTCTCAAGAGTCTTCTCCAACACAACAGTTCAAAAGCATCAATTCTTCGGTGCTCAGCTTTCTTTATAGTCCAACTCTCACATCCATACATGACTACTAGAAAAACCATAGCCTTGACTAGATGGACCTTTGTTGGCAAAGTAATGTCTCTGCTTTTTAATATGCTGTCTAGAGTGGTCATAACTTTCCTTCCAAGGAGTAAGTGTCTTTTAATTTCATGGCTGCAGTCACCATCTGCAGTGATTTTGGAGCCCAAGAAAATAAAGTCAGCCACTGTTTTCACTGTTACCCCATCTATTTGCCATGAGGTGATGGAATCGGATGCCATGATCTTAGTTTTCTGAATGTTGAGCTTTAAGCCAACTTCTTCACTCTCCTCTTTCACTTTCATCAAGAGGCTCTGTAGTTCATCTTCACTTTCTGCCATAAGGGTGGTGTCATCTGCATATCTGAGGTTATTGATATTTCTCCCAGCAATTTTGATTCCAGCTTGTGCTTCTTCCAGACCAGCGTTTCTCATGATGTACTCTGCATATAAGTTAAATAAGCAGGGTGACAATATACAGCCTTGACATACTGCTTTTCCTATTTGGAACCAGTCTGTTGTTCCATGTCCAGTTCTAACTGTTGCTTCCTGACCTGCATACAGGTTTCTCAAGAGGCAGGTCAGGTGGTCTGGTATGCCCATCTCTTTCAGAATTTTCCACAGTTTATTGTGATCCACACAGTCAAAGGCTTTGACATAGTCAGTAAAGCAGAAATAGATGTTTTTCTGGAACTCTCTTGCTTTTTCAGTGATCTAGCAAATGTTGGCAATTTGATCTCTGGTTCCTCTGCCTTTTCTAAAACCAGCTTGAACATCTGGAAGTTCACAGTTCATGTATTGCTGAAGCCTGGCTTGGAGAATTTTGAGCATTACTTTACTAGCGTGTGAGATGAGTGCAATTGTGCAGTAGTTTGAGCATTCTTTGGCATTGCCTTTCTTTGGAATTGGAATGAAAACTGATCTTTTCCAATCCTGTGGCCACTGCTGAGTTTTCCAAATTTGCTGACATATTGAGTACAGCACTTTAACAGCATCATCTTTTAGGATTATGAGGCTAAATG